TGACTGTCGTCATATAAGTTAAGTACTGACGTTTCGGAGCAGCAGGGGTCACATTTGAAAAGTTATATTGCCTTTTCATATGTGATGTCGTGAAGTGTGGTACCAGCGTTTCGGAGTAAGTTGCTGCTTCTGTCTTCAGGGGAAATATTTTGGAATATGGCTCTTGCCGCCAATAAACGAGTTGATTAACGTCAATGTTGTAAAATCCCTGCATGAGGATAAACCCTGAAGATGGACGCAGCAGGTTCTTCCGAAACATTTGTATCTCTGTGTCAAATTACAGGAACATACGAGTACATCGTTCCGAGAACCTCAGATCTCATGAATACTCCCAACAGCAGTGTGCGTGTTGTCGTGTTATAGACTTTGCACTTCAAATAAGCAATCCAAATAAGTTGCGGCTTAATTTTAAGTTTCTAAGCAAATTTTCTGCCTCCCCTACCCCCCGGATGACTGAGGGGACAAGATTCAAATCCCGACATGAACGTAAGTTTTTATTTGGCCGCGAAGTCCACCCATTTCTGACATCAGGGCAGCCGCCTCTCTCCGCGAACTCCATACGCCTTCTTGTCGCGTTCCTCAGGCAGACGGCCAACTTCGGGCAACCCTTGGCATGAGTCATGTAGGATATCCTGCATGTCAAATAACAAATACTGGACAGCATGTGCGTGATGATGTTTAGCCTTGGGACAGTGTATATGTTCCGACGTTATGGAACTAAAATCAAACGAACTACAGGGGGTGAACAAAATAATGGAAACATTAGGAGACAGGCGTAGAATTTGTGTTGGCTGCATTGAAAAAGCTTCACTTGGCGACACTGAACGTTTTTCTTCCGTTTGTTTGCACTGTAGTGCTCGTGTAAGTGTAGCGGTTTTATTGAGTGACAGTCCGTGTGAAAGAATCGGAAAATGGGAGATTTGGCACATTTTGAAAGAGGACAGATCGTGGGTGCGCGTTTATCTGGAGCATCCGTGACAGAAACTGCCACACTGTTACGTGTATCGCGAGCGACAGTTTCTAAGGTTATGTCGGCATCACGAATCATAGAAAGACAACATCAGCGAAGAGGAACAGTGGGCGAAAACCAACACTGACAGAAAGAGATCGTTGTAAATTGAGATGGATTGTTTCGAAAGATCACAGAATTACTGTAGCAGAAATGTCAGCAGAACTGAATATTCATCTTGAAGACCTTGTTTCCACAATCTATCCGACGTGAGCTTCACAAATCCAACATCCACGGTAGAGGTACAGTTGCTAAACCTCTGTCACTGCAAGTAATGCTCAGACGCGTAAACGATGGTGTCACGAACTTAAAACCTGGACATCAGACACCGGAAAGGCACGCGTGATGTGGTCAGATGAGTCATCCTTCACGCTGCTCCCTACCTCAGGAAGAGTTTACGTTTGGAGAACACCAAGGAAGCCTACAGTCCGGAATGTCTGGTTCCAACAGTGAAACATGAGGAGGTTCTGTGATGGTTTGGGCAGCAATATCGTGGTACAGCATTCTGTTGGTCTCGTTATCCTTCATGGCCAAGTTACTGCTGTGGAGTATGTGGACAGGTTGGGTAATCAGGTGCACCCCATGGTCAAGACGTTATTTCCGAACAACGATGCAGTTTTCCAAGACGACACTGCCCCCATTCACACAGCTGGAACTAAAAATGAACTTCAGAATCTTCCTTGTCCAACACAGTCACCAGATTTGAACATCATTGAACCACTGTGGTCAGTTTTGGAGACTAGAATGGGGAACATATTCCCACCTTCAACGTCTCTAAAGCAACTTGAAGATGTTCTTCAAGAAGAATGGTATAAAATTTCACTAGAGAATTTTCAAAACTTGTACGTCTCCATCCCAAGAAGGATTGTGGCTGTGTTGAAGGCAAAAGGTGGCCCAACAACAAGTTAATAAGGAAATGTGTACAGTATGTGTAGTGTTTCCAGTGTTTTGTCCAACCCCTGGATATTACTGCGAGAGTTTTCGTTTTAGTTGCTCTACGTTTCCTGTGTGCTAACCGTTTGAGCCGGGTCTGCTATCTGCTATAAACCAACATGTGTGCAGACATCATTACCAATTTAAATACTCGCTGTATTTCTGTTTTCTGGGAGACGCTGCCGCTTATGTATGTCAGTGCAGCAAACACAAATCCCTTCTATCCCTGGCTGTGATACATCGCTCTGATTCCGGCCGTGTTTGGGAGACCTGATGCTCTTCTGACGTAAAGTAACGTTGACACCAGCAAAACACTACGACATATGTGGGCGCCAGTTGTACTCCGGGTTCGGCTTCAGAGTATTGACGAGGGAGCAACAGGAATATCCGTAATCATCTAGGTTCGCATGCAGGAGATCCTTGGTATGAATCTCGACCGGGACACTGACTATCCTGAAGGCCGCGGGTTCGATTTCCGATGAGGTCACGTATTTTTCAATTGACCTAATCCTTCCAGCCGCACTATGGCCCTAGGGGTCGACTCAACTCTAACAGAAATGGGTACTAGGAAACTTCCAGGAGATAAAGGGCGGTTGGACGGCGCATAAGGCTGACAACCTCACCGCCATTTGTGAGCCGATTGTCTAGAAAATGTGGGAGCCTCGACGTTCCACAAGCCAGTGAACCTGATATAGGGCTATACGTATTTATGTTTTTACCCTCCTATATCTGAGTCCCCTTCGTTCTGTTTTGTGGAACAGTTTGCAACACTGCCAGCAGCGACAGGTGACAGATGAATTGCAGAGGATTTGGAAGGAAACGGCAGTGGCCCAGTTGAGGTAGTATAAAAAAGCTGTCGCTGTAACAGGCCGTGAAGGCCCATAGGGTTGTGAGACGTCGAGGCTCCCACATTTTCTAAACAATCGGCTCATAGATGGCGGTGAGGTTGGCAGCCTTACACACCGGTCGCCCTGTACCCCCAAGAATATTCCTGGTACTCATTTCGGTTAGAGACTGAGCCGATCCCAGGGCCATAGTGCGGCTGGAAGGATTAGGCGAATAGAGAAATGCAGTGACCTCATCGGGAATCGAAACCACGACCTTTCGCGTGCCACCCTGAGTGATAAGGCCAAAATAAAGGAGAATTTTATCTATGTTCCATGATGGTCGAAGTGGAAACCTCAGGGGGAGAAATAGATAAGCTTATCTAGCGGGTTGGTATCGCGGCAACATCCTAGGTTTATATTCGGTAGGTTCTCCGTTCGTATCTCGGCCGGGACGCTGGCTATCCTGACTAAGGTTTCTCGTGGATTTCCTTACCCGCTCCAGGGAAGTGTTGGGATAATGCCACGGATAGGTCACGACGTGTCCTTCCAAATTCTTTGCAATTTATTATTCGCAAACCATCTAACGCTATAGAGTCTGAGCTAGTCAACAGGACAGTGACCGTCGTGGTTTCTGCGGGTTAGAAGAATAATGTATATTTTCTTCATAAGTAATCGTGTCATTATGATGTCTTATATCTGAGTTCACATGCCTAAATGCATACATTTTGGTCTCTTTAAATTTATTTATTTAAGTATATGTCATATTATTTCTCGACATTTTCATGTCCCCTTTCGCCTTGTTGGTTTCTCTGGTGCTCTGTGCCTTATCATATATCCCGTGGTTTCTTGGCATGTTAACGGACGCCGATCAACATGTTCCGCACTGGCTCATTGGTTTAGGTGTTCACTTCGTTATATGCATCTGTGGCTGGAAGCTGAAGGCATTTATCCAGTTCACGAGTTGAGAAATCTGCATGCATGAAGATAACATTTGTTGTTCCGGGATATTTAGCGGTCATCCTTGGTAATCCGTTTTGTATCATTTGGAGTTTTCCAGTTTTGGATTTGTGTTTACAGTCCCACAGTTCGCGACCACAGCAGACTGTTGGTCTAATGCATGTCCCGTACACTTGCAGTTTGATGACTTGTAAGGAGGTGCTGTGGTACCCGAGAGCTCTAATATTCTTGATAATATCTTGTGGACTTTAAGCCTGAAGTTCATCTAAATTATTTTTTAAAAAATCAGCTCATACCTCTCAGAAAATACATTGTTTCTCATCGCAAAGACCAACCATTTAACGCTGCTTAAGGAAATAATCGCTGTTTATTGTGAGAATCATATGGAACACATAAATACACTGTGTGGGCAGAATTCAGAGTTCAGTGCGTACCTCACAGGAAACACAATACGTCTCCACTACAAAGCCCAACCGGTTAATGCAGTTTAGGGAAATAATCGCTGTTTATTGTGAGAACCATACGGAACACATAAATACACAGTGTGGGGAGAATGCAGAGTTCAGTGCGTACCTCACAGGAAACACACTGCGTCTCCGCTACAAAGCCCAACCGGTTAATACTGTTTAGGGAAACAGTCGATGTTTATTGTGAGAACCATACGGAACACATAAATACACAGTGTGGGGAGAATGCAGAGTTCAGTGCGTACCTCACAGGAAACACAATACGTCTCCACTACAAAGCCCAACCGGTTAATGTTGTTTAGGGAAACAGTCGCTGTTTGGATAAAATCTGTTTAAAGCAAGTGGTACATACAATAAACATTGTTCAACAAAGTAATTTTTTTCCGTTTCACTTCGGTTTACTAGATCTTACACATACGGTAGGACTCCTTGGGAGAGTGATCAGCTCGTCGCAAGGCCTCTACCTGTAGACAAACACAGAAAAACGCACACAAACATCCATGCCCTGAGTGGGATTCGAACCCACGATCCCGGCTTCCGAGCGAGCGCAGACAGTGCATGCCTTAGACCGCTCGGCTACCGTGACCGGCTCATCAAAGTAATAGTGTGCATTAATAATACAAAATGTAGGGGTGGCCCTAAGCACTGCTTGTCTACTGAACCTTGTGACAAAAGTTGTACAGGGACTTTGAAATTGCAGATTGTTTGGGATCAATATCTTGTCCAGTGACCGGACATATCAGGAACGTTGAAGCTTTTGCTCTGTTGCGGTTTTGCTGCGTATCACTGACTCAGTAAGCAGTCTAACAGATTTCGTCTTCCATAGTTTCCCAGCTACATGCAGTTATTCAAACAACAAGTAAGGCTTTTCTACTTTAGTGCCCACTAGAAAGAATGATATACAAGAAAGTCAGTGAATAGGTCACAGATGGATACAAAATGTGAAACATGTGATATTCGAAACTGGGAAATCATTTATTTCCCGACAAGGCCTCCGCCAACATCGGTACACTTGTCCTGTCGCTTTATCAGTGCGTCGAAACCTGCAGCATAGAAGTGTTTTGACTGTTGTCTCAGTCATTTCCGCGCCTGCGTTTCATCATCTTCGTCATTAGCGAAACGTTTGAATTGAGTCCTTTTACCCACAAAAAACGCACAACAGAACACTGCTGTTCCTTAGTACCCTCCTCAAGCACGGTCGCCATTTTGACTACTGAAATCAGCCTCTGAAGATGAGCATGCGTGTCTGCTAACTAGACTATCATGAAGCTGGACTACGCTGCTACCTAGTGATACACATAGAATCCGTTTCATATACATTACAGCTGTTTTACTTCCATCTGTGGCCTATTTACTGACCCCCCCCCCACCTAAATATGTTTCTTCTCTTTTGTGCTTGCAGGTTACGGGAACCTCGCCCCGAAAACGCCAGAGGGCAAAGTGGTGACTATGTTGTACGCCCTCGTTGGGGTTCCCCTCATGCTTCTCTGTCTGTCCAACCTCGGCACGGTACTGGCTGGAACGTTTCAGTTTGCGTACTCCCACGCGTGCTGCTACGCATGCGCGAAGAACCAACACCAGCGGCAGAAACTGACAGAAGTTGAGCACAACCAGCATTGCCAACATCAATGCAAGAGTGTGAACCAAGGTCCCCAGTTCATTAACACTTACGAGAAGGCCAAAACTGTCTCAGAGCTCCCAAAGAAGGTGGCCCCTCCTGTAGTTCCATCTGTCCACATTTCGGTTGTTGGTCGGGGTCCCAGAATACAGAACCGACCTCGAGCCACCGCAAGACCCCTGACTCCTGAGGTCCGTAAGATCCTGACAGAATGCGCGGAGTATTCACTGGCTCAGGCGTCAGACCCTGCAGCTGCTAAACTTCTGCAGGAGCTGCAGCAACAGGATCCGGAAGTGGGGAATGTCAATGGAACAGATGATGTTGCAGAGAAAGAAGAGGAAGATGATGAAGAAGAGGAGGAGGAGGACGATGATGATGAAGAGGAGGAGGAAGAAGATCTCGAAGATGGGGAACACGAGCGAAGGTGGTATGATAAGTTGTTCTTCATAACCAACAAAATGGTAGGATAGAGAGCAGTGGTGGGGTCTTTTGAACATGGTAATGAACCTTTTGGTTCCATAAAAGGCAGGACATTTCTTGAGTTATTCAGAGACAGTCAAGTTCTCTCTGCCCTGGGGTCAGCTGAATTAGTATTTTAGTTTCTCTAGAAAGGTCAATATATTTTCACGTGCCCGGGGTTCCGTGACTGATAATATGGGGTTCTAGATTGAATGATTGTATTTATTGACGCCTTCTTTACAATCACAACCAATTACAACAGTTCACACCATGATTGCCTAAGACTTGACCCATTCTGACTGGATTACGAGTGTCTTCTCTTCCACTAAGACTGACTTAGTTCTGATTTACGAATCGGTCACTTCTTCAGCTTCCGTTGTCCGCTGGTTAACACTCCACAGCTGAACACTGAACTCTTCTCCTACGACTCAGTGACTGAACTAACGAACTCACTCTCCTGAACTGAACTGCTGACTGACTCTCATTACAATTGCATGTCCCCATTTTATAACTTCGAGGGGAACCGAGTAAAGATCATCATCTCAAAGTGTTCCTCTGTTCTCTGTTTATCCGTTGCTATGAAATGTATGTTAATTCCATGACAACGCTTTGATTTGTACAAACGTATTCGTTGTGGATACGCACTTTAGCGAGCCGTTGTCTAGCAATGGAGTATTCCGGCATTCAGGCATGTCACAATATTAACAAAGATTGTTATATATGGCCAAGAGTGTGAATTTTACCTCGACAATTTATAATCCTTTCATCATATTTCTCAGCCTGCGGACAGCTGGCATCTTGACCAGGTACATTTAAAATAACCTATGTGTACGGCCAGGAGATGTGAGTTCTATCCGTGTCAGCAGACCAACAGCCTGGCCTAAGTAACGTCAGCCCACGTAAGGCACAAATAGTTATACAGTTATTGATTCTGTTGCAGTGCTACAGCCCAAGACACTCCATCACGCGTGCCTCTCATCTGGCGGTCCCCAGGTGACCAACATCGGCCCCCAACGCCACCACCCCGCTGCCCAGAACTTGACAGCAGTTCTACGACACCGGAAGGTGCCAGGGTACCTGTATCCCTCGTCCTCCTCGTCCTGGCTGGCTACATATGCCTTGGGGCCACAGTGTTCGCGGCCTGGGAAGAGTGGAGCTTCCTGGATGGAGCCTACTTTTGCTTCATCACCCTCTCCACCATTGGTTTTGGAGATCTGGTTCCTGGCAAGTCGTTCCAGAGAGCCGACACACAGAACGGACAACTCCAGCTGGTGGCCTGTTGTGCTTACCTGCTTCTGGGCCTTGTTCTTATCGCCATGTCTTTCACTTTGGTTCAAGAAGAAGTGTTAGCTAAGTGCAGACAGATAGCGCTTTCCATAGGTATTCTCAAACGCACCGACCCTCGCTGAACAAATGTGAACCAACACACAACAATGAATTGTAATACCCTGTCCTGTGACATTTTACTTTTGTGTCAGTGTATGGACCCCACATATCTGGGACTTCCTGTCCTTATTTCAGCGCGTTTTGTTGACAGTGGCTTCTCTGCTGCTGTACAGTTCGTTGCTTGAACCATCCGCCTCTGATAGTGTTCAGGAAGTATAAAAATGTTTTGTATATAAGGGACTGGTCCTTGCGAGTCAGGTCTTGTGGCAAGGACACAAGTTCATAAGGCGACTAAGATCTGTCCTAAAAATTACTTTTTGACACACACAATGTGATAATATTACGAACAATTATAGAGAGTAGTTGCATCATTATGTTGTACTATGGGAGAGATCTATGTATTAGGGCCATAGGCTAATATTTCTGTCAGTCAACATGTTAAAGTTGCAGTTTCAAACTCCCATATCTCCTACTAGTTGTTTCTGTGCCTAATGAAACCGGTAAGTCAGCAGCTGTTCGAATAAATGGTATTGGGCGGTACACTACGTGTTGAGCTTCAGCTACTGGCAACAGATACACTGAGTTGAGATGTTGAGAGGTGCGGAAAACGCAATTGCACTAAGAAAGGGCACCACCACGGAAGGCAGCATGTGTCCACGGATCCCTATGTATTGCGTCCAGGCAGGCAATGTGTTGCAACAGCAGGACCCACTGCACTGACAACATAACCAGTTCCAATTATAACAGTGCTTGTGATGGCTACACTCACCCAGCAGCAGATCATGAGGCACCAGGGATCACCAGAAATGGAGGATTTCTCATCATCGCAGGAGCAGTCAACAAGTGAGCTCAGCGTGGTCACCACGCCTTGTTTGGACCCACAATTTCAGGTCACTAACTTGTATATCCGTAATGTAACGTCATCTGTAGGCTTTCCTTTGTTTAGCTGTGCATGTAGCAACTGATGTGTACAAGTTTTTGTTTTATATTTCAGGAGAAGCAGAACTGAAGCCACCGAGCCGAAAGCTGCTTGAGATTGTGACAGTTGCTCAGCTTGTCGAATTCCTCAACTTTTAAGTATTGATGAATGGATGGATTGATCAGTGCTTATTTAATGATGCTTGAGGCTAAATTGCTAGAAAGTTAGATGTTCAAATGCATGTAATGTGTTTCAGCAAATAAATAATTTGATAACTATATAAGAGTGGCATTTAAATTGAGCATGCGTTTCTTACACAATGTTAATGATGTGCTGGGTGCTGACGCGCATGCAGAGTCAACAAGAAATCATGGTATGCAATAATTGTAACATACTTTTTTAACTCTTAACAAGGAGTTCTTGAAATAACTAATCGCCTGCTTTTCTTTGATACGTCACGGATCGCATATAAAACGACGCGTCCAACAATACTGTTGTTACTTGTGCATTCGTTTCCATTGGGACGTGTTCATCTAGCCGTTCCCTAGTAACAATAGGGGAGAATACACACAGAAACACCTTTGATATGACGCGGGCGGTATAGAAAACGACACGTCCAAAAATTCTTCTATTGTTGAGGGCGTATTCGTTACCGCGGGAATGTGTTTACCGAGCCGTTGCCTGGTAACGATAGAGAAGAATACACAAACAGCAAAGTCATCTCATAACGCCTAGATCTCTTTTTCTTCAAACTACGGAAAGTGGGCTAAAAGCGACAATTTATGATGAACAGTGTCAAAATTTTCAGGATTAGCCTTGTTACTTATGACACCATGTAGCAGACTACATGGTGTCAGAGGACGTTTCGGAGGAATCCACTACCTCCAGGGAAGACAAGACTGGGACACTGATAGGAAAAACTTACCCATTCCTATTTATTGCCCCATTTTGCCGACTGACTCGGTGTGCAGTGCAGTAGAGCTCCTGCCCCAATAGCCCATCAAACTGTAAATAATATTGACAGTGCCGTCCCTTGAGAGCTGCTTCCTTGTGAGGGTGTCTGAATTCAATTTAGTACCAAATTAAGCTTGTGGGAACAGTAAGCGGTAATTAATATTAATATATTCATCTCTTCTGCCTTTCTTCCCCATATTTTACGTAAGAATATGAATAATTATATAAGAATATTTTAACGAAGTTTGAAAATCTGCGTTACAGGCAGCCGCCCGAAAGTAAATTACAACTTTAAACGAGGGAGAAGCCGAACTCATATGGGTTGCTGCTGGCTTCAGGAATATTCCTGCAAGACAGAATCGCTTGGAGGGGAAATCTTCACTTATTACATTGGTTCACATGAGCACTGTAATTCTACCTCAGATTCCTCCGGAAATTACGTAATGAAAGTTATACGTGCACAGTAAACCCTCACTACTCCAGTTAACAGTTAATCCGGATGTCGGATATTCCGGTTCAAAATCTGATAAATGAAAAATGCTGTTCATAGTTGAGTACACAGTTTAAGAGGCACGTGGCATTTAGGAAGGCAGATGAGTCACTTGAAGAAAGCAGTCTTTTGGGATTTGGCACCGTGTATATGTGGTGTTAACCGACGTTTCTGAGGAACGTATCGCCTCCATCTTCAGGGTAGAAGAAAAAATATAAGAAATCTGCAAGCGAAGAGACCGTGAGAACCGGTAAAAGCAGACTGGTCTGCTAACGTCGATTAACACCACATATACACGGTACCAAATCCCAAAAGACTGCTTTCTTCATAGTCACCGCCGTGAAAGCCTCAAATCTTACACAGATGAGTCACTTGTCTGTTCAGACAAAACTTGACAGTTTCTTCAAACCTGCATCATTACGTTCAGGAACAAGTACATCTTCTGAGTCTTCTATCGGTGTGTAAATGTATTGTCTTTCTGTGGTTTTAATTAAGGCTCTACAGTGATAAATTTTGTTTTCATCAAAACTACTTACGTCAATACATTTCCATTTGCTTCACTAATCCGGATTATCGCTTAATCTGGATAACCTTTCCTCCCCAAATTAATCCGGATTAGCTAGGGTTTACTGTACTAATATCATGGAGCAGAGTCTTTTATGTGAAGCTATTAGTTACTTAGCGGCTTAACAAATCTCTTCACCAGATTACACGGCATCGCATCCAGGAAGACAACAATCTCCATATGCAACATAGTTATGATTCCGTACACTACCAGGAATCTTCCTCGGGGTAAAGGGCGGCAGGCGCGTGAGCCTGACAACCTCACAGCCATCTATGAGCCGACTGTCTAGAGAAATGTGCGAGCCTTGACGTCTGTTACAGGGATAGCTTTACCCTTTGTACTTGTTCCTATTCTCACTCCATATTTACGTAAGTGTTTTTAACGTCATCTTACCAATGTGCCGAGCGAGACGAAAGAAATAGTTTCTGACTTCAGGAAGAATTAAGAGGAGACTGAACTCGGGTAATGCTTGCTACCATTCAGTCCAGAACCTTTTGTCTTCTCGTCTGCTGTCTAGAAACTTAAAAATCAGAGTATACAAAACTACAATTTTGCCCGTGGTTCTCTATGGATGTGAAACTTGGTCTCTGTCATTAAGGGAGGAATATAGACTGAGGGTGTTTGAGAACAGGGTGTTGAGGAGAATATTTGAACCGAAGAGAGATGAAGTGACAGGAGGTTGGAGAAAACTGCGTACTGAGGAGCTTCATAACTTGTACTCTTCTCCAAGTATAATTAGAATGATGAAGTAAAGGAGGATGAAGTTGGAAAGGTATGTAGCACGAATGGGGGAGACGAGGAATGCGTATAGGATATTGGTAGGAAAGCCAGAAGGAAAGAGACCACAGGGAAGACCAAGGCGTAGGTGGATGGGTAATATTAAAATGGATCGTAGACAGATAGGATGGGATAGTATGGACTGAATTGATCTGACTCAGGATTGGGAGCAGTGGAGGGCTCTTGTGAACACGGTAATGAACGTTCGGGTTCCATAAAATGTTGGGAAGTTTTTGAAAAGCTGCACAACTGACGGCTGCTCGAGAAGGGCTCAGCTCCACGAAGTTAGTTATTTGAGAGGTGACCATTTCGAATCTCGGCCGGTACACCGACTATCCCGGCTGAGGTTTTTCGTGATTTTCCTCAGTCCCTTCAGGCAAGTGATAGGAGAGTAAATCAGATTACGTCACAGCTGTTCCTTCCGAATCCATTCCAATTCAAACTGTTCAGTGATGATTCTACGTTTCGTTGCCGCGCAGCCCGAGCTACTGACTTCTGAAACGACCACAAATAACAACATAGTGCCTAGGTCTCTTCATGTTTCATGACTGTTGTTCTGCACGAAATCTGCAATTTTTCGCAATCCCTGTTACAAGTGTTGTGTTGTCTGGGAGCAGGGAAGAGGTTATATACTCCAAGAGCTACAAATCTCCGCTCTTCGGGTGACTTGGCGATTCCCTTCATAATTTCGCAGTTTCAAATCTTTGCGTACTTTTTTCTCGAAGTTAAACTGTTTAATTAGGATTCTAGACCTAAGGTTGGTATGACAGCTTGCACTCACGTATCTATAACTCGTACATTCATACTGTCACGTACTATGTGAGAGTGTAGATGAGGTTTGGATTGCTGATTGGATCTATTGACCACTCATATACACCACTCGGAACTACAAGAAAATACAGCACCATCGCTAATCTTCACACTTCACAGATCACTAAACGCTAGCTCTTCTCCAGCCTGCAGTGTCTTTACTAGCCTTACTAGCCGTTTCTTGGCAACGGCTTCTAACAGTGGAAAACAAAAATTGTACATTGCAAGTGGCACACATGCGAGAGGTCGAAACTGCATGCAGAGTGTGGGTCTGCAAAATTGTAAGGGACGAGACCTCGGTGTAGATGCGAGGTTAATAGCGAGACGGACCTGAAAGCAATGTGTGAGGGTGTGGACGGGTTTCAAGTAATGCAGTGGCCGGCTCTTGTGAACACGAAAGTGAATTATTTCTGTTTATTGCTTCTTGTTGGCCGTCGACGTAGGAAAGAAGTATANCCTTCTACCCTGAAGATGGAGGCGATACGTTCCTCCGAAACGTCTGTGAACGCCACATATACACGGTGCCAAATCCTAGAAGACTGCTTTCTTCAAGAAGTATATTGATTTTGGTTTTAATAAAGTCGTTTAAAATACATATATTGTATTGTTACGTGTCACAGTGACTAAGACGCGGGTTTGGATTGCTGAGTCCGTTTGTTGGATCTTCACTAGTCATAACTTCATGAAAACATTCACACTTTTATTAATAATTCTTCTCGTCCTGGAAGTTGAAATAATTTTGCTTTCCATGGTCTTGGTCAGGGATACCGTCTTGGAGTACTAGGGACAAATATATATGGTTATGGCCCTGGGGTCGACTCAGCCTCTAACAGAAATGAGTACCAGGAATTAATTAAATAATTTTCCTGGGGAGTAAAGCGCGGCCGGCGCGTAAGGCTGACAAACTTACCGCAATCTTTGAGCCGATTGGATAGATAATGTGGGAGCCTCGACGTCTCACAACCCTATGGGCCTTCACGGCCTGGTACAGGGATAGGTTTACTTTACTTACTCTCAAGATTACTGTAACTACAGCACATGTACGCCACAACTAAATCTTCCAATTCTTCTTCTGGCCACAACGCAGTTCCCTTGGAACTTCGGAACTCAAGTTAAGTCAATTCCAAGTCAAATTCAAAGTCACATTGCGACTGACGGTGGGTCAGTAAGTCTTGTGTCGAGCCCCATCTGGGACTCATGACCAGATATTTATTACTGTTTGACAGTTACGGTCATTGTGGGGCGCCCTCTCTGACGAGAGGACGGATGTGTCTTTTGTATATGCTGCTGGTCTCGCCAGCGCAGGACTCTTGACCATATTTTACTGTCTCAGATTTGAGACCTCCCTTTTCGTCGCCTCCTACGACTCGCAGTGTCACGGTGGAGGTATTCGTCACCGCCTCCACACGGGTTGAAGTCAATTCCCATTGACATATTCCTTCATATCCTCTCGGCACGGATTACGCGCAGAGAACACAGTACTATCGTTTCGTAGCGCAGACCACACAGAAAACAAGTCACTTGGTAACTATCTCACCAATTCATTGGCCGCTGATTGTTGCTTAGCAACAAGCTATGACATTCGTCCTATCATTGCGTGCGCGTATTGCTGGGCGCTTATCGCGGAGTTGCCTGGCAATTAGTTGGCATATCA